CGAGGACTTGATTATTTTGAAAGATAATCATTCCACAAGAAACAGGCACATTGTAACCGGCCAACTGTAGCCAAGCGGGCATGGTTAATGGTTATCACCCTCATCTAAGGGTCAAGTCGTGTCCGTTGTTTGTCCTCATGCCACCTGGATTTTAGAATAGACTGAACAAACTCGCCGTACATCAAGAATCGACATCGCAACGAGCCGATCAATCCTTTAATCGAATATCGATCGTTTCGGTCCGTGCTATTGTTGACTCTGCTCTGCTTGGTAAAGTGCCTTGGTGTGTCTCTGAGATCGTCGGCACGTGAACTAAGAAAGTTCATGACACTAGAACAACAACATTTCCATTTTATGATAATTAAATCCCACCACAACGGGTTCACAACTTTGCATAGACTTGGCCTGGGCGCACCCATGATATGCAATCTTAAATTTAGGTTCAATGAAGCTACCCGTAGGGCTTTTATCCTGGTGGCTTCATTGAATATCGGATGGTATTGTTTAGATCTTGAATTACACCTGGAACGTATAGTATATCATCGTTTACAAGTAGAATGTTCCCTTCTTTGTGTGCACACCTACAAGTTGAAAACGAAGACAACAGTTATAGATTAATTTTAGATTATATCAGTATAAGCAAATTCCCACTCACACAAGCTACATTTTTAAAATAGAAAAGAAAGAAACATTAATTCATTTCATTTGTCCCCCTTAAGCGATTTTTCTTTACAAATGAATACACAAAAGCAGAGCTGTGATAAGTATTATTTACAGTGCACAATGAAGTAAATGCTACGAACTTTTCTTAAAGTCGAAATAGAGTGTCAAAGCAGCTGTCAGCATTGACGTGTCGTTACTGTACGAGTTCTCTGTGTACTAGATGCACAATTATAATTATGAGAACCAGCTTTTCCTGGAAAACATTAAAAGCTAATAATATTTTGTTTTCATTTTCAATTAATTCTTCAGAGAAAAAAAAACCGTTTGCAGGACATAAAACTTTCGAGTGTCATGTCCACGAATCATACCCTAAGCTACAACCTTTTTCGGCTTAAAACTAGCATTACATTTCAATTCTTTAGATCATGAGAATGGAATCTCGAACCCCTGCAGTGAGTTTGGTGAGGCATAGGGTTTGGAATATCGTGCACTGGCCTCATGCTGTGCCTGCATTTTCCCAGCCTGTGATTAGCAAAATTCCATGCAGTCTTCTCTTTATATATCAAGATACAGCTGCTTCAGTGAACTTAAATACGACTGGATCAACCACCCCCTCCCCCCTTTGTATTCATTTGTTTAAAACCTGTGGCTGGAAAATGATATCAAACATCAAACGCAGTCTCTTCGTTCATGCAAACAAAGTGCAAAGTCAGTATAATGTCCATTAATATGAGCGCTCAATTTGCCTGGTTAAATAATGCGTTGCTTATTTTGTGCATGTCTTTTGTCTGTTGGTCTAAATAGACCTAACTCCTCCACTTCCAAGGATCACTCTGTAATCCAATCCGAGGGTACTGGGCAGTTGTGCGTAAAGCACTGAGGGAGTTAAGGTATTCTTAGGGCAAGGGACAAAAAAAAGTCATCTGTTCCTCTCGAGATTACAGGTCTATTGTTCTGTCTCAGCTTAATCTACGTCAACCCAGGAGACTTTTGTCTACTAGGAGGCAGATACAAAGAAGACGCATTACCAGTGTGCCCTACCTCTGGGTTGTTGGGGAGGCCCTTGAAAACTTTACAACACTGGATAACACACACACTCATTGATTTTCTGTTTACGTCCCTTTTTTGTGAGTGTTTTTTAGGTGTAGGTGTGCCCGCTTGTCTTTTCTTTCGTCTATCGAAACGTATCCGAAGTCGTAAACTATTCTGGGCTGGGACCACTACAAGGTTGTAGTGATTTTTTTAAGAATGAGATATACGATCTGGTGCAAATTCTTCGCTCTCTCTCTCTCTCTCTCTCTC